AGGTCACCTTGTCATAAAAGGAGATAAGATGTTCCTAGGTTATATCCCATTAAGCATGGCTGCGGTCACCCAGTTCGCTTTCCTGCCCTCACTGCAGCTGGTGTTAATCCAGGGATGATTTTCTTAGGTTGTTAAGTGGTGTTTATCATACGGCATCTGGCAGCAGTATAGGAGAGAGAGCTGATGCCTTGCCAAGCTCGTGAGGGTTGGAAAGCATTTGTATTTCAGATGCGTCAAAATGCCTCAAAAGCAATCAAAAGTTGTGACCAGTCACCAAGGCATGACCGCAGTGCGGTCCCTTTGTGTCCAGCTCCTGGGGAGGGCTGCGATTTTTAAAAAGCAGCCTTCACAGGAAAACCACCCTCCAAAATCTGGTACATGATGGAGCCGAGCCCTTAAAGTACCTCGTGCCTTGTGCTCTCTATGCTGGTGCCAAGAGGGACAAAGGAAAGAAGGGGCCACAGCTATTCATTTAAAAGCCCTGCTCTAAAGGCCCCAGGGCTGCAGACTATCTGCTCTGGTTTAAACTGCTAATTGGTACCCGAAACAAAAGGCAGTGTGGAATCAGTGCCATAAAATAACTACCATACTTGCCTGTGCTCTTTGCAGGAGGTCTGAAGCACACAATGCCAGCGCAGCACCACGAGTGGAAAGGCGATCTTCTTTGAAGCTGCTTTCAGCTGCAGCCCCTCTCGATGTACACACCAGGACAAGCAGCTCCAGCTCCAATCCGCTGGCTCTCCCGAAGCTTCCCAGTCACAGCACGGCCACCTCGGCACAGTGATTTGTGCCACGCAGTTAACGTAGCTGTCTGCAATTCACTGTAGGCACTTTTATACCTCACACATGCATATATATAGACATACTGAGCGCTGTCATTTTTATGTTCCACCAGAGAGAACAGTAATTCTTCAGGGTCAAGCAGAGGAAAGGCACTGCCAGTTGTGGTCTCTGCTGAAATGGGATCTGTGGACGAACGCTCAAGCACACTGCACTAAGTGCTGTGTCATGACAAATATTTGATACTGGGAAATAAGTCATCTTATGAGTGACTACTGTCAGTTTAAGTGGACAGCAGCATAATACATCATGGTATGCAGCATTAAGCCAACCCTGATAAGGCACAGCGAGGCATGAGCTAGACCTGCATTTGAATCTGAGTGCTCTCGCCATGCTCAAGAATATTTGCCCATTCTTTTCTGCTGAAATTCCCAGGAGAACAAAGGATCTTCTGAGGGCAATGTTTTAAAAGTAGATGTGATGCAGTATGAAAGTTTCCTTGTATAAAAGTTGAAGGAGGATATAAAATGTTCAGAGAGAGACAGACTGGTGCTGCCACTCTTGTTAGTTCTAGGATATACCGTTTATTTCCCATTTGTGAATTATTTTCTGTTAAACCTGTGTCTGAGCAAGTCCTCTTGTGCATTGAATTTCAGCAGGCCTGGATCCAACACCCTCCCAAAGTTATACCAGCTTGAAACAGCTCAGTGCTTGGAACCCTGCACCCACAGAGATGCTTTGAAAAGTAGAGCTATGTGGATTGGCTTTTTAAGGCCAGGGCTGTTCATCCAGGAGCAGCAGCCTCGGGCCACCCGCCCTAGAGACAGATCTCACCAGCCCCCTGGGGTTTTCTGCTCCAGCACTGTGTTGGTCACCCCCGGTGCCAGCTGACAGCAGCCACGCTTGTCATCACTGGCAGCCTCTGGCAACACACGCTAAGACCCAGCTCCTGGGAGCTGTCCCATCTGTGTGGGGCTGACTGGAGTTGGGATCTCTGGCTGAGAATTGCACCTCCCACCAACCTTGCTCAAGCTTGGTCCTTGGACAAGCCACTAGGTCCGCACAGAGGAAACACTGTCTGAAACTTGGCCCATATTAAACTGGGCTTGTATACTCCCAGTCTACCAGCAATGCTGTGTTCAATTGATGGTCTCCCTGCAAAGGAGCAATCGTACTGATGGCTGGAAAGAGGTCCTTGGAGGTTCCTCATGTTTGGCTGCTGAGTGAGCCAAGAGTGGCTGGTAATCAGTGACACCACCAAGCTGGGGTAGCAGACAAAAATCCAGATGGAGGAAAACCCATTGCTCACAGCAATTCACAAATGAAAATCAAAGTATTAGGTTTTTTAAAAATTTATTTATTCCTGAAAGTGCCCAACTAGAATATAAAAATATTCTTTGGTGAAAGCAAAACTGAAAAGGGTAGGGCATGAATGCCAAGTGAAAAACATTTGCATGTTCCAGGGGAAGAAGCCTCCAGAGACAAAGCTTGGAAGTTAAGGTCACATTTCTATTTTACAGAAACTTCCTATAGCAGATCCATAAGTTACCTCATTGTGACTCATAACTTGGTGGAATACATTTCTAGTTTGTTCTCTTTGAGAACTCCATTACCTCAAGTGCATCACACCAGTAAATGAAATCAGGGCGCTGCTTTATTTACTATTAGGCATTTGTTTTTCCTTATGGTGACTGCATTATAGCTGCCACAAATATGCAAACCAGCTGAATTAAAACAGCACACCTTCTTGAACATTTCCAATCTCTTTAAGCGTGGTACTTTGCATGTTCTCCAATACCTGGATTTTTCTGACTAATGAACTCTTCCATTTGCGGAAAATATCAAATGCACTTAGTACTGCAATGCGCAGCCTCACTGTGCGCGGTGCCTAGCAGCTGAGCACTGTAAAAGAGCCCAGTCCTTGGCAGAAGAACTAGAAATCTGAAAGATAAAAGGGAGATTTATGCACGCTCCTACCAAGACTCGCTGCAGAATTTAATTGGCAAGGTTAGCAATAAAGGGGCTTCAGAGACAACCACCAAGGTTATGGCCCCAGCGCATGTCACAAAGCAGTAGCAAGTTATGATTCCTAGGCTTAAAAATTAGAAGTTACATTTGGTTCCTCATCTTGCACTCCCCCATGCCAAGCTGCACGTGTTCTGATCAAGTCAGTCCCTGCCTCTGCCCTGCTCAGTCCATCTTTAGCCCTTCAAGGGGAGACACAAATCACTCCATCCAGCCCTTCTGCAACTGCATCCAGCCTCTGCCTGCACTCCTCCCGCAGCCGCTCCAGCTCTCGCTCCAGGCTGGCCTCTCTCCTCTGCAGCTCTCTGATCACCTCTGGAGCGCTGACAGCCAAAACAGGCTCCTTGGATACAGACCGCCCGAAGCCCGCCTTGCTGGCAGGATGTTTGCTTCTGAACACCAGTCGGCACGAACCATGCATTTTCTTCTTTTTTGGAGCACAAAGGTATGCAAGATCTTGCAGTTTCAGTTCAACGCTTTCCTGTATCTTTCTAGCAGTGGCCGAGAACCCCTCCTTCTGTAGTTGTTCCTCTCTTGTTTTCACCTGTAGAGAGATGACCAAAAAAGGGGGTGGGGAAAGAGTTGGGTAGATTTCTGTCAAAAAATCCTCATGCCAGAAAACAGAAAATGTCATGTTTGGACTAGGATGTACCAAAGAGAAGAGTGCCAGCTGTGAGTGTAAACCTAAGTACGTGACGGTGGAAGCTGAATTGAGCTAAGTTGTGCTTTCCATCAGGTAGCAGCTTCAGTGATCGAAAAGCTGCCGGTAGTAATTTGTTTGCAGATTCACAGTCCACCAGCCCCTCCACTGACGAGTAATACACAAGAGCTCTGCGTGCTTCCCTCTTACCAAGGAGCAGGTGGTTTGGCTTCAGAGCAAAACACACGGAGCAAAAAAGGGAGACCCAGCAGAGTGACCTTCCTCACCGTTGTGCTTTAAGCCACCACGTTGTCATAACAGATTAATTGCCTCATGACTAACAGTATTAATTCAGTTTGCAAATGGTTTCTGTACTTGGCAATGCTAAAAAGTAGGGATAACAACTGTAAGCTAGAAATTCTTTAATTCTCAATCCTCTTGGGGTAACAAATAGGAAAATAATGGAGCAGAGAAAGTAGTAGAGGCTAAGACCAAAATGAATACCAGGCAGCACACTTTGACTGAAGATAGGCCCAATCAAACAGAGCTTTTCTTGTGACAGAATCTCAGACTGGATGATAAAAGCAATCGTATACATTGGGATTTCTCTAAAGCATTTGATTTAATGTTCTCTAACAATTTGATTTAAAGAACTTGCACGATGGTAATTGCCTTGCCAATTTTACTCGTGGATTACACATGAATTCAGTGACTCATCTCAAAATGTAGCTGTCAGCAGGGAAACATCCATAAGAAGTGCCCAGCTAAGGCCTTCAGGGAAATGGTTCTTGGTCCAATGGCATCTTCTGTTTCTGCTACGGCAAGAAGCCACCAAATCAGCTCAGCCAAAAAGCAGCAAAGTTTCAGAAAAGCGATGCTGTCTCTGCAGCCTGCACAAATCCCAGAGCTCCCCTGGAACCTGTGTGCGGCTCTGGAGTTCATGCTTCAAAACACACAGGGAAACAAAGAGTAGGATTCAAAGACAGGTCACTCCACGACTCGCAGCCCAGAAAACAAGCTTTATAGTACGAAACTTCAAGAGCTCAACCTGTTCCATTCATGGGAGCAGATACATAATTTATTTTAGATACAAAAAGTAAGTAGAAAAGAAAGCGGTGAGAGACCAGACTTCGCTGACAAAGCCATAAGAAGATCAAATGGATGAAAATCTGCGTGAGTTACTCAGCTTTAGAATATGACATTGTTTCCTACCGTGAGGATAATGAACCATGAAATGCTTCATTGCTGCTCCAGGGAATCCTTTGGCCAAAGCTCAGCTCAGGTCAAGCTCAGTGCTAATGATACCCTCTTCCAGCCTTGAAACTGCTCTGCAAGCCCTCCCTTCCCTGGCCGTGGGTGAAGCTGAACAACTCCCCAGGGTTTTAAATCTGCAGATCTGCATTAAGATATTGGTATATCACATATTAGGGCTCTGACAAGTTCCCTGTAAAGTCAGGGATATTTTGGCATCTCTCTGAAGCACCAGAGATTGGTCGGAGCTCAAAGCAGCACCAGCTGCAAAGACAAGAGTCCTAAGGTAGCAAAACCTCCCCTGTCTTTATCACTGCCAAGCTCAGGGTCAAACCTGCTGCCATACCTGGAGAAAAAAGGATTTTTTCCATGGATAAGTAGGGAAGGTTTCATTACTGAAAGAAACTCAGAAGCTTCGATTGCATTCTCTCAGGGTGTGAAACACTGCAGGCACAAGGGCTGCAGTCACAGTTAAATTTCCCCACTGACACCAACCTCACCAGGGCTTCGTTCACTTATCCCACATCTCTCAGCAGAATACCTTCATGAGTTTTGCAGTCAAGTATTTAATCCCCCCATAGTCTTCTGATACATTATTCTTCCTCCCTCTGCCCCCACTCAAAAAAAGATTAAGAAAATCAATCAAATCAGAAAAGGAGTACATTTCTCTGAATTTTTCCTAACTCGTTAAATGCTTTTTTTGATGCAGAACCATCTGTTAAAGGATACCTCTATTGAAGCCAAGAGAAATCTATATTTGCCCTTGTCCAAGAGCCACGGGTCCCTCTATCATAATCCTCAAGGAATCTCAGGATTGCTCTCACTGTTGGCTAAAAGAATATCTGAGGTCCAGCTCTCTAACACCTCTTTAGGAGAAGCAAAACTGAAAAAATAAATTCAATGTCATCTGGTCTCCCCACTGTCAATGAATAAATGAAAAATGATGTTTGCACAAAACAGATTTAACAGTGGAATCCAAGACAGGAAAAATTTCCTGCTGCTTACAAAAACCAAAGTCACTCAGCAAACAGAGCCCACAAAATGTTATTTATTTTCCGCATTAAACTCAGGCAGAATACTAGGAGCACTGTATAAGAGTACTCCTACTGAAACAAAGGTTTTCGTACTCTCCATCGGCCAAAATTGGAGATTTTTATTATCCACTGTGCAAGGCACATGACGGAAGAGCATACTCCTGTCAGCACTAAGTGCATTGAGCTCTAACTCACAGCAGTAGCCGGAATAGGAATTACTACACTGAAGCAGGAGCAGCTGTAAGGACAAGGACAACAGCCCAGCTGTAAGAGCCGTCAGGGAAGTAGAACAAATTCTGATATCTGAGTATCAGAAGGGCACCGCACATTTTACCTTCTGTAAAAAGGACCAGTATTTCCTGGGACAATGTTAGGTAAACTTAACAGCGGAAATTTTCAAAACAATGAATATGAAATAAAAGAACAAGTTTAGCAAATTTCTTTCTTTCCTGTCAGCACAATCTGGAGTTGAAAAGCTCGCTCACGTTCTTTTTTGCACTGCTCCTCCTGGTAGCTCTGCAACCACATGCACATCCAACAAGTACTCTTGTTGCAGTCTGTAGATTTCAATGGCTAAAAATTCTCTAAAGGTTACATTCAAGTAGTATTCTTTACTCTTCACATCCTGAACACTTGCGAAAATACTCAATAACATCCTCCTGTATGGTTAATTGATGCTCTCTAACAGCTTGCTGTCTGCCATTAGTCAGCACACAATGATTATTTTACACTGCAAAACAACCTCAGCAGACCACTTTGTATTAAACAAACATATTGTAAAAGATTAGGAGCCTCAGCATTTTGTGCCTGCCTGTCCCTATCCCACAGCTCTGCCTTTCAGTCTCAATCTACCAGCTGGAAGTTGAATTCCCAATTAGGTACCTAGTGCTGTCTGACAACTGCTGCACATCCTCTCCGAATAAATACAACAAGACGATAATCGTTTCCACTTCTACAGAACCAACCTCATCCCAAAGGGACCCGGTGCATGCTGAGAAAAGCCATGCCAAACAGGGAATCAGCTGATGAGGAATCAGCATCTTCAAGCTGACACAAACCCTGCTCAGGGGCGAGCACTGATCCGGTGAGCTGGTCACAGCAGCACAGCCCAGCAGTCACTCACAACGCTGTAACTGAGCCCATGGAAGCGTGCTGTCCCCCCCACATACACCAGGGCCAGCGTACCCTGCCAGGTTTCACACTCGCAAAGGCCAAGATAAGCTGGCACAAGTGTAGTGGCACCCAAGTGTCCTGTCTGTCAGATGGACAGATGCCATGAGCGTGCACCGAGGAAAGTACTCCTGATAGGTTCCTTCTACCTCTTCACTTCATGTTACCAACCACTGTTTGGGACAGGACAGCGGCCAAACTGCCCCAAGTCCTCCTAGATGGTTTCCTTAAAATAACTTAAGTCTTTCAGAAGGCCACTGCAGGTTTTCAAAATGTATTAAAAAATTAAAACTAAAGGGAAAACTGCAACCATTTTCATTCTAAGGAGAAGACAACATTGTCTTCCTCTAAGGAAGAGGTAGTGTAGTTGCAGATATATTACATCTCATAGACCAAAGAGGGACTGAAGCGACAGCCTGTGCTGCCCTTCCCAAACCTGGCACAGTGCAAAGGGTTACGGCGTGCACAGACACTGCTGGCAGATTCACACACAGGAATATACGAAGGAGTAAGCACCAGAAAAAAACAGATCTCCAACATCAGCAAGAGGGTGGGCAGAGACAGATGGCCTCTAGTTCTCAATTTGGTGTCATTAAGCCAGGCAGAACATCCATCAAGCATGGAAAGGATTTCCCCTCTTCCCAACGACAGTGCCACAACTGATGCTGCATTTCCCAAAACATTCAAGCTGAGGCCTGATTGAGGGAAATGGCCAAGCCAAAACAGAAAAGGGTGAGCCCAGTCCAGGATGCTGCCTGTGCAGCAGGAAAGGGGCAGTGAAGTGAGACACATCCAAGACACAGGCAGAGCAGGCAGCTCAGCTCAGTCCTCACACTGATGCACAGGAGATCTCAAGCCTGCAAACATGTACACACAATTAATTCCCTCAGCACTTCCTCACCTCTACCTTCTCTAGAATTTCTTCTAAGGTGCCACTGGTTGCCCTTTTCATCCAGGCAGCTATTTCAGCTATTTTCAGTCCTGGGAGTCTTCTGGCTTCAAATAAAACTTATATCAATGAGGTCAGCAGGCAAATAATGCAAAAGGTAGTGTGTCACTCACTTTAAATAAGCTACCTTTCCGTTTCTTTGCTTGGTCCACTGTTTTGAGGCCAGAACAGTAACACCTTGCTAATTTGTCATGTGGACAGTCCCAGTCTTTCAGCTGCCCATCTAGTGGAGGTCTGCTTCTATTAACTGCTCCGATGACCTGCACACATTTAGCTCATTTATCTCTCCTCAAAGAGGAGACCTTCCAGCCCTCCACAATTACTGCTGTGGTTTCCCTCACATTTGCCTGCACCTTGCTGGTAATGAGCTTCCCAGAGCTGTGTGTCTCATTCCATGTGGCTCAAACATCCCCAAGAGGCTGATCTGTCTCAGTTCTAACAGCTCACTAATCAAAAGTGAAGTAAAAATGATGCACAAAAATGGTTCTTTTTCTCCTAAG